GGGAAAATACAAAATAAAATGAACCATTAAAAAATCTCAAGAGAGAGAAAAGGGGGGTAAGGGAGGGAGAGAGAGGGGGGGGGGGAGAGAAAGAGATCAATGAAACCAGGAATAAATACGAGAGAAAGGCGTATGGGAGTGGTGGGAGAAGCAGATCACCACCAACCCACCCAATGAAGTGCTGGTGATATGCTGTGATGCATGTGCCAGTAATTGATCCTTTCATTCGTCAGGTCGGTATGATTAAGGAATGTTAATGACGATCGTCGTTTCCAAGTTCCAATGAAGATGTACGTGCAAATGTGAGCGGGCACACGAGCTATTTAAACAAATGATTTTAGAAAAGGTTGGGGGGAGAGGAGAGAATAATTTAAACAAGAATTTTTTTTCAATTTCATAGGATTCAATTGATTTTTTTTTCTTTAAATACTATTCACATCTCTCAGTCGGAGAAAATTATAAGAAATCACCAATATAATTATTTTTGTTTCTTAACTTCGGTGTGCTAAGTAGAAATAAAATGATTAAATCTTGGCTACATCCATGGGTTGCCGTATATATATTAATCATTTACTAATAGCATTTATTTTGTACAGCAAAGTGAACCCCTCAAATTCCCTTCATTGAAATGAGCACTCTATGGCCAAAAGGATTCAAACTGAATGTAGACAAAACTTAGGTTTTATTTTTAAATTTTTTGGGTTATACTCTAATTATTATAAAATGAATCTTTAAATTATCAACAAAAGTAGAATTATTTACTTTTTGAAACATTGAAAGCTTATAAAGTCCCTACTTAAATTAAAGTTATTTAACTCTTTACCCAGGCATCAAACTAAAAAGTAGATCTGAGCTCATCCACCCAACCATTCACTCAGTGAAGCAGACACCTTCAACCACGATAATTTGAGCAAAAGTGTCAACCCACTTCTGTTGTCCAGTCATTCACTAGGTGAACACAGCATATGAAATCTTAAAATGTCACACGCCCCATCCACACATCCACAAGTTGGAAATGTGAGTAGAGAGGAAGTCTTTCTAAAAAGCTGCAAGAGGTCCAAAGAAACCTGATGCAAAACTGTGGAGAAAAATCAGTGACATAAAAAACTGACCCTGCAGACAGTCACAACTGTATCAGCAAGCAGACAAAAGTAGCATTACTTGGCTGTTGCTTCAAGCACCAATCAGCCATGAGGCCTAAATGCATTTTTAAATAAAGTATTTTTTTAGGGCTTTTCATTTTCACAGCAATATTTTGTTGATAAGAATAAGCACAACAAAGTACAGGTCTCTAACTTTAAACAATAAAAATTATATAAAAAGCAGTCACTTGATTAAGAATTCAAATAACTTGTATTAACATTCAATTTGAACATGAACAAAATATCATTAAAAGTAAAAGGACAGAAAATTAGCAAATAAATGAAGATTTGTACATGACAAGATGTTGTACAAATGAGACAAGTCTAGTACATTTACCACCACTTCTAAACTCAGAATCATTTCTTCTTGCAAACGCTGCAAATCTATATTAATTATGTTATTCATATTGTATTACCTACTTTTTTCTCCTTGTTTTTGTTAATGAGATTTGGATTTTAACATTAAATTAACACAATTTGACAAACAATTTTGTGTTAACAGAAAAAAATGTCATCTCCAGAAAAGAGATCAATTTTGGGAGCACTCTGACATGGTACAACGTGGTGTCTGGATGGAGAGTGAACTAAGCACGTCCCGAACTGAGCCTGACGTCTTGCAAGGGTCACCTCATCTCTGCTATGTGATGATGTGACAGTTGATAATGAATAGCCCAAAGGTCTAGTTTCATGCGGTGCAAAGGATGCAGAGGATGGATGGGGGACAGGTCCGGCTTCATGTAGTTCGTACCCTCTTGAAGATGGATGACCTACGGTTGTTGTTTTTATATTTTGTCCATGGTTCAAGGTGCCTTGATGGGGAGATAAGGAACGATTATGTATCGGAGATGTCTGAGTGTAAGATTGTGGGTATGCCCCAAGTGAGGGGAGGTGGTTTGAGGATGGTGGAAAGCCTTCAATAGTGCTTTGCCTAGTCAGCAGTGATGGAAGAAACTCTTGGTCTGAAGCAGGGTTATTATTCTCACTAGTTGCAGAGTTGTCGGAACTAACACAGATGGGTGGAGAATTTTGAGGAGGCTTCTCACAAGTTTTGTCTAGAGAAAGCCTACGACGAGATGAACATATCTTTTTTGTTGAACCTTTGACTTGAGTTTTATTTCTTTCAACTGGGTCAGAATTTATTTTACTCGGAGGCATATCCTTTGTTGGTACCATAGGCTGTTCTTTATCTCCATCATTTTGGGATATCTGGATACAACCTTCAGGTGTTGTAGGCACTAACTGATCTGCAAGAGACAAGAAATTTGCGGTAAAGGAGCAATTATAATTTTTTGTTAAAAGGTTTTATTAATACCAGTCAACATATAAATAAACAAAAACACCATTTTTGGACTGCTGAATGGCCAGAGTAAAAGTTTCCTCATCAAGCTTTTCATAAATACTTACCACTTGTATTGTTCTGAACTACACAGGGAACCAGGGTCGATGACTGCAAGTGAGTTAAGATATTTATAGGGGATGTCCCACAAGAGATCAATGGCCTTGGTGTTGGAGTGGTAATTTCTGGAGTAAGTGGTGTAGGCACATGATGGTGTCTAGTTTGAGAAGCTGGGGTGGATGGAACATACTGGTCTATAGAAATATTATGCCCTGTTGAGAAGATTTGTAAAAGATTGGTTTTAATTTACAATACTTTTTTTATATCTAAATAAAGCAATTTAATGAAAAACTAAAGATTGTATAATCCAAATATATTTTCTAATTCAAATATATTTTCTTGGATAGGAGTAGCACGTTTGAGGGAAAGTGTTTTGTTTCTGCCAGTAATTTATAATACATAGGTAAGTTACCACAATGGTGTAAATCATTTTTAATGTTGCCTTATAATATGTGTCTGTAAAGGCAAAAAGAACATATTTAATTAACATTATTCGTATACGTGACTAAAGAAGAATATAATTACGATTAATATTAGGGGTCATGGGTACTCTAGAATCTGTTGGTGAGCTGGAAGGGAAATTTTGACTTCCTGGTAATATTCCTGGTGTCAATGCCAAAACATTGGTCTGTGAGCCACCAAACATTGCAGTTTTTAGAAGCAATGACTGAAAATATAGGTAGAAAAATTATGTTTAGAATCTCTCAAAAACAAACAATAATTGAAGTTGTTACAAAAAATTTTAATTCAGAAATTAAGATTTTAAGCTATTTTTTTCTTTTTCGTTGCTTTTTTTAAGCATTTAATGAGTTCAATTATGAAAACAAAAGCTTAATACCCCTTAAAAAATGTTTCCAAATATGTTCTCAAATCATGCTAAACATTAAATTTCATTTTCTAAAATTTGGAGTTTTTCTGAAAAATATTATTATTTTTTTTTTAATTTTTTTTTTTTTGTTGCATCTATTTATTGTCTCAAAAAGATGATTTTGTAGGTTTTGCTGGAAGATGCAAAATCACAAGGCCTCTGATTTTTTATGGAGAATAAGGTGGTTCCAAGTCAGAAGATGACCCTCTCCATACAGTCGTTAACCCAAGAGAACTTTAAAATTAAGTAGATGCTTGGCACCAGGGACATCACAGGAGTTGCTGGAATTTTCCTTGAATTAATGTCATACCACCTCTCATCTCCATTTAAGGGTTAACTATTTCTCCAACAGTTTAAAAAAAATTCCAATTCAAGTGATTCACCATCCAAAAATAATCAATTGATCAAGGAGAATATATATTGGTTTTTAATTAAAAATAGTTTTATGAATATTTATTGTAGTGCCTTTAAGAAATTCCTGATCACTGACATTGACTAGTGCAAACAAAGACTTTGTTAAGAAATCTAAGCAAAATAATTCAATATAAAATGTACATTTTGTAACTTCTTTAAAACATCTCTTGAATCACAAGTCTGATTTTGATTACCAATCATAATTTTCATGACTTATAAGATGTTACAATTTACAATAATTTTTAATATATCTTAATGATATCATCAGAATGTTTAATGTTGTGAAAATTGTTAATTATTTTAACATATTTATTGCAACATAATTGACTTTACATATAAATCCATGTTAAACATAAGATTAAAATTTTTATTTTGTTTTATGTTTAGAGAAAAAAAGGCTTTCTATATATAAATATAAGTAGAAGTAAAGATTTTTTTTTCAAATTGATATTACAACTATAGTATAGGGCCTACTTGTTAAGACTTGTAGCTTACTACGTACAAATAGAGTATAAATAGTTTTAATTTATTTTTGTAAATAATTCATCAAATAGCATAATTAATGTCTTATGTCTGTCTCAACTGTCTGACACTTATGCTAAGAGAGACAATTGTTGGAAAATTGTATTATTTTCAGATGTGGGGGCAGGGGAGTGGGCCTAACTCTAACCTTTAACTTTCAATGTGAATGTGATTAAAATTCTAAATTCTATGCAATTAACACCACAAGCTGCAGGTCAACTGTTAGACTTTTATTTTAAGCTTAAACAAGTTTATCCCAGAATAATACCAACTTAACTTAACGCTACTTTAAGTTTTTTATGACTTAGGGCTTAAGAGTAGGACTAGTAAGGGTTCCGGTTAGTTAGGCTAACTCTATGAGTTATGTGAGTATGACTACTTCAACTTCATAGCTTAAACTTAAGTAATTTATATTAATTTTTTGTAATTAGCTTATGACTTGTGTTATGGTTATGCCATATTTAGTTAAGTATTGATATATAATATATGAATATGGTATGTGCCTATAATAAATTATAAATAATATAATTTTATCAAACTTTGTAGTAAATTTAGAATTTAGTTTTAGATTCATTTTTCATTTTCATTCAATTAACGCATAAACCCTTGAATTTAAATATCATTTTTCTTAAGAGCTAGAAGCAGTTAAGTTGAAACTCATTTATTTTATAAGCTTACGTCACATAACAATTAATTACATACTTTTTGGACAGTAAATAAAGTGGCATTTCAGAATTTCTTTTCGGTCGTCTTTAAACAGGAAACCAGGCCAGGGACAGTTGCAGAGTTGCAGATAAGGTGAAATTAATAAGTTATAATTTTTTTTAATCGTGTTTCTTACAAACTTTTCAAAGAATTTTAATTTTTTGTTTATTTATTTAAAAAAAAAACAATCAGTAATAACGCTTTACTAACACTAAGACGAATGTATTATTTTAGTCTAGTTTTAATAATCAATTATTCCGCAAAGTTGTAATTTTGCTATTAGAAAGTAAACTTCCGTTTGAGTTATATTTTTAATAAAGAGTTTTAAGGAAACTGATTTTCAATCACTGCACAACACAACAAAAACTTAAACCATTAGAAACATTCACAGACAACAGAAAAACACAACTTTACATTAATTAATTATTATAATTTACCCCCATTTCGCCAAAGTGGTTATGTCAACACAGCTGTGAAGAGAAAAATAGTAATTTGTTACAGTAAGTTTAAAAATCTGAAGAGAAAAATAGTAATTAATAAGTAATTTGAGTAAGTTTTTTTATTCTAGAAATTTACCAGAAGCAGAATTTGCCATTTAAACATAGTTTTTTAAACTCTGTTTTAAACAATAAAAATGCAGGTAATCTACCACTTGAGCGTCGGCCAAGAAAAAATCCAGCTGTTCCGGTTGGAAGGGCTATTTAAACAACTATACTTGACTTATATTATTTTTAATGACATTGGTTGTACGTATTCATTCCCATAATAATAGACAATTTTTTTAAAATAGAAAAACTATAACAATTTTTTTGAAATAGAAGATAATGTGTGAAAATGGAATTATGCATAGTTATCCCCCAAGTTGACAAAGAAGTTTAAAAAAATATAATTTCCACAATAACGGTTGTGATACATGAATCCACGTAAATATGAAGGGGAAAGATCACCAGCGCTTCTTGTGCCAGCTGTCTTTTCAGTTTATGCTTTCTGAGCATTCACGTTTTCCACATTCTGTGTGTGGACATCCGCGTCATCTGGATCAAAAAAAATAAACAGTTGTCTCTTTTTCTTCCTGGCATATCGGTAGCTTGGCAGTAATAAGTATTTAAATGTATTAGTATTGTGCCATATAACTTTATAGCCTCTATACGGAAGCAAAAATATTAACAGACTCCAATGTAAGAATAGTTGTTTATATAGCCCTTCCAACCGGAACAACTGGATTTTTTTCTTGGCCGACGCTCAAGTGGTAGATTACCAAAATGCAATGCTGTATAGTGTATCCAGTAATCTTCTATCAATAACTAAGTATATCCTAATGGGAAAATATAGGGCAATATATTTCTTCTTTTTTTCAATCATCATACTGTATACTTTATCATTTCATGCTTTCTTATCTTGAACTCTGAACATTAACGATGGAGGGTGGTACTTGGACCTACTCAACTCAAAAGCCTCTTGATAAAAAACTACCCAAAAATGATCCTGTCTGTGATGTTATTTTTGGAGCTAGGAAAGGTCTGAATATTGTCATTTCATAGGTCTATATACTATATTCTATATATAATATATATTATATATCATTTATTAATTTGTATGGTTTTATTTCATATAAAATAATTAATATTCATTCAATAATTTTTAACCAGCACTAAATGTGAATGTTGTTGAGACATAAAACTCTTGAACAACAGTTTGCTTTTTTTTGTTTCAAAAAGGTGTTTGTAAAGTTTGTTTGAAATATCAAATTTATTTTTAAAACTGCTAACTCATCAAACCATCTGTTGTCTGGATCAATGAAGTTTATTATTGTTTTACATCTACAGATGATCTTTTTGAAGATTTATCTTCAAACTCCAGTCCACTGCAACAGCCAAAAATGTAAGATATGTAATAATTTCTGTCTGTCTCTTTGTGTGAAAAACAATTTTGATTTATTATTGTGTAGCCCAATGTAAAACATCTTTTCTATGTAGCACTGATCAATTTAAAAATTATAAATTTAAATTATCTTTCAATGTTCTTTAAAACATGTGTTGAAGGTTTAAATGACAATGCAACATTAATATTTTAAATTTCATTTATTATTAATCATTCCCAAATTTGCATTTACTGTGATTAGTATATAATATTAATATGTATAGATGAAATAAAGTCATATATTGTTGAATTTCATTTTCAATTTTGTTGAAACACTGTTTTTTTGGACCTTTTTTAAATTTTGACAAATTCTCATACCTACTGCTTTGTGAATACAGCAAAACAAGACAAAAGACAACTGTCAAAAAGAACAAAGATGTCCCAAATGAAGAGGAAAATTCCTTCTTGTTATTCCAGGATGACAAAATAAGACAGAAGAAGGTAACTATAATATATTTAGAAATATTAATGAAAGATTTTGAAAAGAAATCAAACTCGTCTTGATTATACATAAATTCCGACGTGTACAGTTTACTCATATTTTTTCATGGTTGTTATACATTTGCTGAGTTGTATGGCCCTGCACAAGTTCAATATTGGACAACAAAAACCTTAAATCCTATTGGTCCATTTAAAGTTTTAGAAACTGAATGCAGTTTCATTGATACCATTTGTTAATACTAAGACAGCATAGTTTGAGTTGTCAACCATAATTACAAATTCATTTGTGTAATAGTAATTATTAACAAGAATTGGAGAGTTAGTAAGTGATCTTTTAATTTCTATTAAATAATTAAATATATTTAATATTAGGCCTACTATCCATGTCTAGATTAGTCATTATGCCTATTTATTATTGTGGCAGTGCTTTATTTAACATGTTATTGCTTTTTAAAACTAAAATGGTTGTGATCTCCTTTGTTGTATAAGTCCTGGGGTAATTAATTAGAGCCGAAAATCAGTGAGAATTGTAGTCTACATTGTATTATATTATTTTTGTATTTATTATTTTACTCCAGCTGGAAACTTCAATCAACATTTTTTATCCACATATCCCATAGAGTTTGAAAAAAAATGTTTTGACATTTTCCTCCAGTATGGTGAAAAATGAGATTATAATTTGAACTGAACCCAATAACTTTGTCAAAACTGAAAATATTATACTTTCTTAATTCAAATACAGGAATCTGTATTACTAAAGTTTACAATGCTAGCATTAGCATAATTAACCAAATAATTATGTCAAATTAGACTATATCTAAATTGCTATCACATTCATTATCTGAGTCCATTTTTTAAAAATAAAATTGCTTTTGACCAATGTTAAAAAAAAACAACCTCAAAATTGGACAAAAATTGAACTTTAAAAAAAAGCTGATCTACCATTTTATGAATGATATCAATGTTAACATTCTGGGCTCTAAAAAATGCTTGTACAGGGAAGGGGAGATCATTCATTTTTTAAAATTCTCATGCATTCAAAACATATGAAAAAGTTGTTTAAAAATTATACTTTTTTTCAACTTTTAGTTGTTTTTTTTTTTTTTGGTACTCGTTACAGTTTTTCATGCTGTTGTAGTTTTTTATCCAAAAAGTTAGCATGTTTGGTTTATAACTACTGTGTGTCAACTCTGTCTTGCCGTGTTAATGTAATTGTTTTCTTCCACCAACCAAGAAGTAGCAAGTTTAAATTTGTTTATATCCTTACCTCTGGGTTCTCATGCATTCAAAACATATGAAAAAGTTGTTTAAAAATTATACTTTTTTTCAACTTTTAGTTGTTTTTTTTTTTTTGGTACTCGTTACAGTTTTTCATGCTGTTGTAGTTTTTTATCCAAAAAGTTAGCATGTATGGTTTATAACTACTGTGTGTCAACTCTGTCTTGCAGTGTTAATGTAATTGTTTTCTTCCACCAACCAAGAAGTAGCAAGTTTAAATTTGTTTATATCCTTACCTCTGGGAATTTAGCTAAGTGGGATGGACTTGTTACCCCAAATAAGTAAAATTTACCTGACTGAAAATCTATTTCAGAAGACGAATACACTGAAAATGAGAAAACAGACAGGTGTGGGACGAAAAAAGTCTGCGGTCAAAAAAGGTGGCACACTTAGCTCCAGTGACACAAACACCTCTGGGGAATTGGTTATCGAAAAAGCTGCAGAGTCTGATAAGAAAGTTCCTGAAGTTTCTAAAAGTTCTTTAAAGCATTTGTTTTCATGTGATCCGGAAAATGAAAATAGCATTGAAATTTCAAGAAAAAGCAAAGGTTACTTCCCTTTTAAATTTTCTTTGATTCAATATAATAACGCATTTGCTGATGTTTTTCTACCGAATAAATATTAAAATTATTGATATAAGATATATATTAATTCTTGTTTAACTTGCATCCCCTTGTGGTTTGTCAGAAGAAGCAATGAATACAGTTATGAGTATTCATGCATTTATGACCAGATTAGAATCCAGTAGAGTGGATATGTCACACAAACTACTCAGATAAGTTAGCTGTGTATATTGATGCTGAACTTGCCCTAGTTAGAAGTATTATATCTATGTCATTTAAAGATATATATACACTGACATTGTGTAGTGAGCCTTTACCAGCTATTGGAGTTTGCTAATTTGAAAGCAAGCACCACTAAGTTTTGTTAAAAGAGAACATTACATGTGTGACTAAATGTGACTTAAATGCAAAATTTTTTTTTTCAGTTTCATTTGTATCTTCTCCAAGGAGACTTGCATGCAGTCCTCCAGTACCAATAGTCACAAGTGATGTGGATTCAGACTCCAGTTTTCAGTTCAGAAAGACTAATGCCAATACTGATAATGTTAAATTCTCAACATCAGAGACAGAGTGGGCCACAGTGTCTTGTAAGTAAATTATTATCAATTATTCTATACATTTATACCAGTTTTAAATTTGATTCAAGTTTTTTTAAATTTGAAAGACAATTTTATAAAACAAAAAGTTTAGAATCTCCACTTTTTTTTAAATTATGCTCCTTTCATCTTCCGGTACCTGGTGCAAATTCCAAGTTTCACTGATTTATATCAGTCAGGGTGAACAATTGGCAGTGCATGCTAAGAACTATTTCATCAAAAGTCATAATAATTTAATATGAATATTGAATAAATTTTCCTTGACTTAACAT